TCGCGCGTCAGCAACTGTAACCTCTTCCTCCTCTTCCTCCTTTTCCTCCTTTTCCACCTCTTTCTCCTTCTCCCCCTCCTTCTCCCCCTCCTTCTCCACCCCCTTCTTCTCTTCCCCTTCCTTCTCCTCCCTCCTCTTCATCCACCACCTCCTTCACCACCTTCTCCTTCTCCTTCTCTTTCTCCCTCTCCTTCTCCTCATCCTCATCCTCGCAAAGGCCTCCTCCTCCCTCTCCTCACTCTTCTCATCCTCTCAAAGACTTATTTCTCGCGTTCTTATATCCACCTCTCTCCTCCACTCGCCTTCACTCGTCTCTCTTTGCCATTCGGTTTTTCGCATACCAGGAATTTTTGTTCCCATCATATCACAGGCGCAATTATTTCCGAGGGTTCCGCAGTTCTCCACTTTTTTTTTTCACCGACATTGATATTGAATTCTTAACTTTTTTCATTAATTCTTTATCAACAATTTTTGAAAATATTCTGGGGGTTAGAGGAGGCAAATTAATAGGCATTGGTTTTATGATTTTGTGGTTGAAAAGTTTATATTATAGTGATAGGTATTTACAGTAGTTTTTAAATGTTTTGTACGATTTTTCAATAGAATAAGTGTGAGTCCTGGATGATGAGTTCATATTTAAAAAATAAATGTAAAAATTTTTTAAATATATAATTTTACTCATGACTACCACATACTAATCATGGAGGAGTCAGAAGAGTGATATCACTAACGGTTGAAAGTTTTATAAAAAATAATAAACATTTACATCTGGATTTATTTAAAAAGGAAATGAGCGACCAGATATATGGAATGCGTTTAAGGTACTGTAATTAGTACAGTAACTAGTAAATATCCAAAGTCGTTAAATAATGAGAAATAAAATAAACTTGACAGAATGAATACGTTATTCTTATCTTGATCATCTTGATTTGGGTTTCTATGAATAATTCATCACCTTAATGACAGCTTTTTCATCACTTGGCAGTGGTTCATAGACTATTTTTACTAAGTAAGTGTTTATACTGTTTTTTGCTGCCATCAGGCACTAGTGTAAACTCGTTGATCCCGGTATAATGATTCTTGTGTCTCGCCACCGATCACAGACTCGTGTGACGGCTCCACGAGCTGTGGGGCTAATAACAACACACGTGATATATGACTGCAATGGATCCTCAAGAAAAGCACCAGGAGATTTCTCTAAGAACAGACACATGTGTGTTTAACCCGGTGTTCTACCACTCAAAACGATATTTACACGCTCCCCATCACCAACATGTGTCTGAAAAAATACGTAATTATGCGTTACATAAACATAAACACGTAAAAATTATCGAATTACCCGCGAAGAGAATATTTCATGCAAATGACGAAATTTTCAATTCGATATTCATGAACAATCGATTTTCGCACGATTCTCAGTTGTAATTAATTAAGAGGATTTACAATAATTTATTGTGATAATTATATAAATGGATTGATTGATAATTGTATTTGTAACATCATGTGATGTCCCTTTTGAATATGGAATATAATAAATTTAAATTTGTTATGAAAATATTGTTTTTGTAGAAATTATGATTTTTGTAATTAAATTTAAAATTTCTGAAGAATTTATTTAATCTAATTAACAATAATTGCGAAACGACTGACGTCAATATCTCCCAATGAAAGAAGAAATTTTCAGAGAGAAGTTTCCAGGATTTCTTTAATCAAGTTAAATATTTCCGTTTTGTTACATGATCCTCAAATCACATAACCATTCTATATATATAAAACATATATATCTTCGTATATCTAATAAATCTAAATCATTCCGTGTGGGAATTTTTCCTGAATAAACGTAGAAATGATAAAACCCAGAAATTTCGCGTTTCAATTACGCGAGCTGTCACGTAATGTCCCTCAAAATTTTCTCCTCACATTTTTTTATGGACTCCAAGAAATTCCGACTTGAATTGTGAAATTGTTTTTAATATTCCGGTGTCTGGGGTGAATTTTTTCGAGACAATTTGATACTGAGAATTCGCGTCAAAGTAAATTGAACATTTTTTTTTATGACTCTATTGAAATGTTTGTTCGTGCCGCTTGTCATGAGAGAATGAGTCGTCAAAATATCCATTCGGTTTCATAACTCACGTGTAAAAATTTAATACGTGGGGATCACTTAATTCGCATCGCGTCGGTGACGAGTTTATTCGAGCTGCAAAATTCTCCTCGCCGGATTGCGTGACGCTCTCTCTTCCTTTTTCCCGTGGATTTCTTTTAAATTCCATTTCTCAGGAATTAATGAAGCGCCGCTCTTTTTCTCATTCATTTTTGCACCACCTTTTTCGCGTGGTAAATACTGTTTGTTCGTCAATTCTACGAAACTGTATTTAACCGTGGCTTCACTCGTACCGAGGGATATTTACCGCCTCCAATGAAATTGCTGTACTTTCGTGGATTCCTTATGATTTACCACTTTTTTCGTCACTAGGGGAGTGAAATCGAAGGAATTTATTCACCAATTTGTTTTTCAGGGATAAAAAGAGGGTAATCCCCGCTTTTTCCCAAAATGACACTAAAAAATCCATCGAGACTTGAAGAAACAATATTATTTAATTATTATTACCGAGCAATACACTTCGGGAAAATTATAGTCGAAGTTTCAAATAAAAAAATATGAAATCTTTAACAACCATGAAGGGACATGAAATTTCTACAGAATTTTTTACTGACGAATCAGTTAATTTTTTCAAACCCCCGCTTTCATCGAAAACTCAATTTTCACGATTTTTCAAGATAAATAAAAATTTAAGCGACTGTTTGTTATTAAAAATGAATTCAAAATAGAGTGAATTCTCGTAATTAAAACTTCAGATGATTTTGTGACAGAAAATTCAAGAAATCCTCAACATTCCATCAATAATCAAATAAATTCCCGCAAAACCCGAAAAATATTTTCATAAAAACGTCGTCTCAGGAAAAAGAAATATTCGCAGACTTCCCTCATTTTTGCAATTTCATAATCAGCATTACAAATTGTCCTGACTGCACGGTGTGCACTAATCCAATCCTAATCTGATTCCACTCCGTCGATTTTTCCCACAATTTTCATGATGAAACAACACGATTCCACACACGGGATTCATAATAGAGTTGTCCAGTGTCGGTCTAGATTCTACCCAAGATGTCATGCTCTATAATTTCGAAAAATTAAAATACATTTAATTGAGACAAGCAAATGGGTTAATTTGAGGATACTTAAGATTAAGAATGAAGATGACCACATAGTGTAAGTGTGTAGAAAATGACAAAGGGAAAAAGAAACGACTAAAAAAATAAAAATGGCTGACTTCCGGTAGTGGTTGATGGGGGGAAGACAAGAATCCTGGAAGAGGTGGAAGAGGTGGAAGGGGTGGAAGGGATGGAAGGGGTGGAAGGGTGGGAAGGGGTGGAAGAGGTGGAAGAGGTGGAAGAAGTGGAAGAGGTGGAAGAGGTGGAAGAGGCGGAAGAGATGGAAGAGATGGAAGAGTTGGAAGTTGAAGAGGGAGAAGGAAAGAAAAAAGGGATTAGCAGGGAAGTCATAAGAAAACGAGTGGAATAATGTCTTTATTCTCGCTCGAGCCGCCACATTCTCGGTCTTGTTGCCGCGATGATAATTATACGTTACCGAAGCTCACCGACTCCCCTTCAATTAAGACAGCGCTATCGAGGAATCACCTGCTCCCCTGTACTTTTCCTATCCTTTCTCCTAGTAAATTGAAAGTAAAAAAATTTATTTGCTTTTGTCTCTTCCCTCCTGGCCTTGTATTATATCGCCGTGGAGATTGAAACTCGGGGATAACAAAAAAAACTCGTCAATTTATCGTACCTCTGAGCCACCGATTTATCCCGGTTTTTCGACGACTCTCGCATCATCGTATCTTGCGAAATATTTAATTGGTGTAGCTTTCGGTTTAATTTAGGTTTGTCGAATCTAAATTTAAATAATCAGTTTAGTGTTGATTGAAAAATTTTATAAACTTTTTTCTGTAATTCTTATTTCTACTTTACCATTTTTTATTGTATGTTCGAGGAGCTCGGATAGGAAAGTTGAGTATGGGAGTATTTGTGAGGGTAATAACGGTTGGTAGGGATTTTATTTATACATAATTACAATTTTTTGAAGTATCTAATTTTCGTCAATTTGATAAATTTGGAAAATTTGACACGATTTCATCGATAATTCTTGATCAAATCGTTGAAACTGGAAAATTCGAAATATATTCCGATAAATTACATGAAATACTGCGATAATTCGCAATAAACGCGAATTTTATAAAAAGACATAATCATGAAAAATGAAAAAAACTCCAATAACATCCCAAAAAAATCCACCAAAATCAAGAAGCAAAAAAATTTCATCAAAATGGTATATAAATATTCCCACTCCTCTCGAAACTCCAAAACAATAGAACCAAATTCTAAATTGAGAAAACCATGAATATCAATTTTTTGCGTTCAAAACGCCAGAACCCCATAAAAAATGATGGAAATTAAATGACTGACGTCTTTTCCAAGGCTCCTGTAAAGATCTTTGAAATGAGTCCGCAATATATGACCTCAACACGAACGGAAGAGAGTAATTACCCCAAAAAAGCCTTACAGCTCCTTCAAACCAAATCTCCAAATACGAAGACGTAATTACTCCAGTAATCAGTAATTAGCCTGGCCAAATGACAAAGGCTGAGTCTGACTGGAAAGACCGTCAACCTTTGATGTCAAGATCAAAAAGAGAGTGACACTCATAACCAGAACTTGCAATTCAACCCATCGGATCGCGCCATAACTTAAACGACAGCCGACATTTGCGCTGCCGATGGTTCACTAATTATCGTCTACTCGACATCACTCCTCTATATATCCCCTATATATCCTCTACATATCCTCTACATATCCCCTATATATCCCGAGCCGTATGTACACCGCAAGTCGATACTTCTTCCCACCGTGACGGTGTCTTCGGTTGAATGCGAAGACGAACGCACGTTCCACTGGTCGGCGTCTTTCATTTCAACGAGACTCCTAACCCTCTCCTCTCCTCTCTCCTTTTTCAAATTTATTTTCATCCTTTTGTTTTATTTATCCCATTTTTTCTCATATTATTTGGTTCCGAGAAAATTCCGAGAGTCAGAGGGCGGGTGCAAGAGTGCAGCTGTCACTTTAGCTAAATTATGGATTAATATAGGGTATGTGTACATAAATATGTCATGGGATTTGTAATTCGCATTTTTTTTTGCAATAGATTTGGCGATGGCGGCAACTGCTCCGTCTGCTGTCAGAGATTTTCATCCTGATGATGGGGCCAGGCTCCGGGAGATTGTCCATTATGTGATGAAACACACACGGTACACCGAGGGACAGGCAAAAAAAGCTGTCATTGAGGTACTCAAGTCTGGAATAACTGCTAAGACAATCGTAAAGACTTCCAAAGGAAAATATGTGCTGTGTACTGCTGACAAACCGGAAGGTCTCCATTACAGGATAAGACAACCAAAATTCAGTGACAGTAGCAGTGATTCCAGTGAGTGATGAAATATTTATCGGAATAACGTGGAAAATTCAATTGCCTGGAGGAATAATCGGAGTGTCAGAAATAGTGAGGAAGTCCTCTGGCACGTGCTGGGGAAACATGATACTAGATTGCACTGGATTCCGGGGCACTTCATGATGTCATTACTGATTACGGTTATGTTTGCTTCATTAAAAGATCTAATGAACGGAGCGAATTAGCTTTATGTCGCTTTAGTTTTAATTGGTGTGTTATACTTTAGATTGGAGTCTAGATTGTTGGGGTTTTTTTGCTCAATTTTTTTGGGAACTAGCAGGTGATTTTATTTGGACTTTTTTTCTAGATGAGAAAAAGAATGAAAATCATGACTTTCGACACATGAAATTCAATTTTTTCTCAAAATAGAATTTTTTCGTTAAAGACTGATTTTAATAATAGCCCTCAGCGATGTTATTATTATTATTATTAATATCTTCTTCATTTTCCGTTATATTCCATCACAAGAGAACGAAAAAGAAAATACCACTATTTACGAATTTGATTGTCCACTTTTAACATGAAATTTTGTATTTTCTATGAGTAAAAATCCGTGGAGATACAAAAAATATGAGGACGAAAGAGAGATTAAGTAAAATCAGTCTTCCAAAAGTGATACCTAAAAAACCATCGAAAAATCTCTATGAAGTACCGTAAAATATTTGATTAGACATTTAATTGGCGTGTATAACTGTTCGGGCACTTGCCTGGCGGTGACATAAAAATTCCTGGAAAAAGCCTCAACATCAAGATTACCTCCTGCCCCGCAATTATTACCCGAATTTCCTCTCCGCGTTATTTGACCAGCCGTAAATTCGCCGATTCACGGTATGACATTGTCACCTGAGATAGTTTCAGTGGCAAAGAAGTAGAACACCATAAATATTCCCAAGTGTGGTCATCCACTTTTCTCTCTGTCCCTTATATACAACACGTGTAGAGTATATAAAAGAGTGGGACATTATAGTGGAAGAGGGCATTATACTTGGTCACCATTTATCTGGTTACCTGGTTGGTGGCGGTGAAGCTGAGATTATTATCTGGAGTCCGCGCGAGGTCCTGCCAGTATTTGTCATGGAGATGCGACCTACCGATAGGGGGTTGAACGCGGCGTCGCGCCTCAGCTTGTAGAAAGTTTAGTTGGTATACCCTCTTTGCGACCGGATTCTTCAGCGTACAGATTGGACACGTGAAGCCTTTGTCCTCAGCTTCCTAGATTTTCTGTCTTCTTATTTTTGGTGTCCTCGCACAAACCCAGCAGTCAATACTAACGTCAGTTTCAAAAAATTTCACTCACAAGTTGTCCCAGCATTCCACGATACCTGAGCTATTTTATTAGTTTCACTTTCACATGTGCACCAGAATCTAAAATTCCACTAATGAAAGGTCGTGATAGCCACGTGCGTAGCATGTAACGGATTTTACTGACAAATTTAATTAATTTATTTATTAATTATAAAATTAATGCAGCGAAATTGAGAGGACGATTGAGGACTCGATTGGGTGAATAACTAGAATGAGTGACCGGATCATGTTATGATATTTGTGGGGCTCGTGTCAGCTGCGTCGACACCTGGAATTGAATTGAATTTTATTTTATATGAATTATAATAATTATATGCCTTCAAGAGGGAAGGGGAGTGGAAGATTCCGTACATCTACCCAAGCATAAAAGATTATGAATTTCATGTCGCGAAGATTTCCATTGAATGGATCATGACCCAAAAACTTTTCTCTCCCCATGGAATTTATTAATTAATAAATTTAGTAGTCCAAGCCGAGCTTTCGAGCGATATCTTCAAATCTGAGAGAGCTAGCGAAATTTTAGTGAATACCTTTTTTGTAGCCCTCACTCCACTCTACAGAAAAGGTCCTGAGAACAATTTCAGTATCTCTCTGAGATTCAGAGATATTCTCGGAAACTCAGCTATTAGCCAAATCACCTCGCCCCAGCGCTACTGAATTAATTAATTATTCGTTGTTAATTAAATTATTAAAATGTAAATTAATTGAATTTGCGCGGATTCCGAAAAATTTGGAACAAGTTCTTGAAAATTGGAGGTGGAATTTTGCATAAAGTGCATCACCGTCGAAAATTATCGCTTCAAGCGTTTATATTAAACCCAACTGACGCAATTCCCTCTCCAAATCCTTCTTCCCCTCATTCTCAATTTTATTAATATCCTCATTGACTCATTTATTTATATTTTTATTAGCAATTTGAAAACCTCTTTCTTCCACCTCTGGGCAGTCTTTCCTCGGTACAGGAACAAGTTGCAAACGGGAATTCAACCTTCTTATCGTCGACTCGATTAGCCGCGACGATGAGAGGGCTCTCGTGGCATCTTCAAATAAGGCAAGAAAAGCCGCTAATGTCTTCATCAGCCCCGGGAATTCGTACACTTGTCCCTCCATTTTTTTTTTTCAACTCTCTTCATCAATCTCTTGAGATAATATTTCTGAGATTCTGCGATAAGATATTAACCCACAGCAACCACTTCCATATCATAGACTGGCCGACACAATGCGCCATTATCTCCCCTGAATAATTCACTAGTCGTCAAGGATCAGAATGAAACACTTGAGTGTTCATTCGGACATAAATAAAGTATTATAATACCTTATCCCGTCGCCGGTGGTGCAAACCCGTTCTGTCGTCGATTCAAGACAAAGGGGTCTTACCTGCGTACAACTGAAAACAAACATTAGACCGCACAATTCATTTTCGGCTCACCCATCAGCCTCGCACCTCGCACTTTAATGTTTCGTAACAATGCACTTGGGATAAAAAAAAATAAAAACGAGACTGGCTTGTGTCGACATTCACACGGAGCTCAGCGAACAAATGGGAACGGTGACAGCAGTGGGAGAGGGTCAGCAGGAGAATTACACCAGCGGCAGATTTCATTTAGTTTCGCGAAAAGATTTTAAAGAGCGAAAAATTTCGTGCAACGAATTCTCAGCCGAAAGTGAATAGAAATTCCTGAGAGATGGCTTAAAAAATTTGTTCATTTTGTAGAAAAAGGATGACGCCAGGTGAGACTGATTTGAAGGTCACAATTAATTTTTGTGAATGTTTAAAAGTGCGAGGTGACAGACGGATGGAGTGCCGCCATTTCGTGCGAGGCGGTCGTCAAGATGGCGGCGCAGGCTGCACAGATTTTTACGCGAGTGTTAAAATAAATGAGTTTATAAAACAAACTCATTCTGAAATCCAATTTATTTCTAAATTTATATAAATAATACACGTAAATTATTATTTATACTGTAAAATACGTGTTATTTCTGGAGTGGAAAATTCTTGACAAATTATCGCCTGCAATCTCTTCATTCTGGAGAAACCCGTAAGATTCATAATTCGTTTGAACTATTTTGAGTTGAGGAATGCAAAGATCGTACCGTTGAGCCTAATAATTCTCTCCCATCCACAAACATCCCTAATCTCCTCTGAGATTTTTTTTATAACTCGGCCATAATCCCAATAACGAGAATCAGAGGTCCAACGTCTCCACTCCCTCCAAAACCAACTCAAACGTATATGAAGGATTAACTTCCCCTAGATCCCGTGTTATTTCCATCCAAACACTTCATTCCCAGTGTCTCCATATTCCTCCACGATTACATGATCCGGGTAACGGACGGATGATAATAGACACAAAAAAAAGACTCGACTAAAAAAACTCGGGATGAAGAATAAAAAGACTTTATGAATGATGTGGGTAGCCCGCAGCTTGCAGATTTCACATCCACTCGAATTCACTGACTCGTCACTAACACTAATTCTATCCTTTTTCGTCTCCCATCGAATGTTTTTTTTTGTACGCAAGAAAGTTGCTGGTAAAAAAGAGCACCAGGAGAAAAATGTACAGTGAAATCAATTCGAATGTTTTCATTTTCACTCGGATGAGTTTTAATTTTATTTCCTAGAGATCCAGCACTCGATCTCTTTATCGCAGTACCACAGAAATTATGGGACTGAAAAACCTGACGACACAGACCGAATATTAAAACAATATTTCAAGAACACATCAATTGCTTTAACACTGTTTAATTAATTCTTAATGATTCTTGTAAACCAAAATTTCAAATTTAAGACTCAGACTGAAAATTGATGAACCCAAAAAAAAACAATCAGTTATCCCTCGTTTAGGTTTCCTGGAAAGTGCAAAACTCGTTATTATTTCCGGCGAGAGAAGATTCGTTGAACAGACAATCGCTGACCGTCGGAGTAAATTCAACAGTAAATGTTTCTCCGTGCATGATCTAAAGTGAGAGAAGACCCAGTGATAAAGAGAGTAAATAAAGTAACGTGGAGACTCGTTGATTAGCAGATATCTTAATCACCTGTGTGCGGCCTAATTAAATCGTAACTCAATCAGGGGCAGCAGAGAGTCCTTAGGTGAGCATACGAATGAGATAAAGAAAGCCCAGAGTGAACCAGTGGTGAATATATTCGCAGTTTTACGAGTTCCTTTCCTCTCTCGCATTCTCCTACTCCTGAGCCATCGATTTTTCACATTTTAAATCCCCAGTGACTCCCATGGAGGGCATTAACTGTATTTGCAGATAAAATAAAAAGAACAATTAGTATCACCTAGTGTGCGGCACTCTCGATTCACCTTCTCAAACATTTTCATATTAAATTTACTGCTCACTCGATTAATCCGTCGCATGTATTCCGGAAAAGACTGAATAATATTTAATGAAAAAATGAAAATAAATTGCGAATAAAAAATTCAAGTGGAGGGCCCAGGGGAATTATGTCATTACGGCGTACTGAGTGCGATCGGAAGGTCCGGGCGGTTTTGCCCTTTTTTTCTTCTCGCTCTGGTCTCTTGTTTTTTTTTTTTTATTTTTTTCATAAATTATAGTCCCACGGACGCGTCATCGAGATAATACAGAAAAATGGGCCCGGTCTTCTCTCGGAAGCCATTGCATATATGTATGTGGTACATATATGTGGTGTCGAGGAGCCGAAATGTTTCGACGGTGTCGCAAATGCTCTCTCTTTGAATCCACACCTTTTATGCTCCTGTTGCCCTTCCTTGGGCCAATCTCGGGGGCTTCTTCTTCTTCTCTTTCACCCTGGGCTTTGATTCGCCCCCTTTTTTAAACGAGTCGCAAGATGAAGCCGTTGTAGACGTCACCAGCCGTCGGGCACATTCGTTACTCGCTGATATAATGAATCACTCAGGATGAAAATGCAACGGTTATGTCGTGAAATTCTCAGAGTGTTGGGTATGGCAAGGTAAGTGCTTCTTCTTCATCAATTTATTTTTGTATCATTCCATTATTAGATTCAATTGTCAAATGCTGTGAATAATGGATGGGTTTATTTGTGGGTCTTTGGAATACTATTCCAATGATCCTAGGATTGGTTTTTGAGATTCGTAAATTGATCTGCATGATTTTGTCGTCAATTCCTGCTCTTCTTGGGTATAGAGATGACGAATGTAGGATTGAACTCCGTTTCTACCGATTATGCATGGGAGGGACATGAATATATCTTTCTCCAGCCCGTGTTTGCATCCCTGAGGAATAAAATGAGGTCGTCAGTTTCACATGGAGAGAAAAATTCAAGGAGAATTACTAGAGGTAGAACGTAAAAATTAGGTTTCGAACTGTAATCCGCGAGCGGAGGGAAGTTCAATAAAAAGTGGGAGTTGGAATAGAAATTGGACGAATCGTCACGAGAATTATATCATTTGTACCGTAAAAATTATTCACCAGTCTGATGACGTACCGCTGGGTTGACAAGTCATTGCGTCATTTTTTCCCAATGATTGAGAAATTTTACGGAACAAAACGCAGAAACAATAGACCAGCCCCATAAAAATTGTTGAACGCTCATGAATTGTTTTTTTTTTTGAGGCACAATAAATCGAGAATTTTCAGTGAGATTTTACTTGTCCGGGTAAAATGACGTAACAATTTCATACCTTTCCGTAATTTTTACTGAATATTTCTCCCCGTGGAGTTATTCATAAAGCGGAAATGTTTCTGGATGCAAGAAAAAGTCTTCAAGAGTACAAGTTATTTTATAAAGATGAACTTTTTGCTGAGCACCAAGAAACATTTTCCCCGTCTTCATTTTACGACGTACTTTAATGAACGTTGATACTGTCATGGAAACTCCGGTATTTCTGACAACGGCATCAACAATTTCAGCAACACAAACTCCAGCTGCCCATTTGTTACACTTTCTCTTCATCAGGTCTTCATTGCTAGCAACAACTTTATTATGCACTTCACCCCATCCCTCAGGGTCCATTCGGCTACCAATCTCCCTGTTTATGTCCTTTAGCTGCATTCCCATCACCGAGACCGCAGACCACACGGGCACTGTAAAGTTATGCATAATTAAAGTGATTTACTCAACCTCAGTGAAGGAGTAGAAAATTTTAATTACCAGATGTTGGACTGTTTTCACCGATTACAAAAGCTTGAATACAGCTCGGTGAAATTCCAAGTTTCTCACCGATAAAGTACTGAAATCTACAGCTATCCAGGAAGGTACCAAGGCCAATCACACGATTGGGGGGAAATCCAGAGAGTCTCATGGCCACATATGAAAGTATATCGACTGAAAATAACACGAAAGTGATATTGCAAAAGAGTCTTTTCAATATATCCGATTATATCCCCCCATAATCTCCTCTTGGCGAGCGCTCTAAATTTTATTCAGTAATGACATTCCCCTCGGAATATTCCAGAAAGATATTACAAGTCAAAATATTATAACGTCAATATATTACTTCGCAAAAATATTAACCCGAAAAATGTTACAAGCCGAGATATCGTCATATCAATATATTATTTTAAAAAATATTACGAATGAAGGAATTATTATATGAATTGTTTACTGCGAAGAAGTATTATAACCGCAAAATATTGTTGCTAACAATTATTAAAGCTGAGGATTACTTCAGTGTACGTTAAGGAATCGATATATTTTTATTTATATATATATTTTTATTTATATATCGAGTGACACTTGTAGTGAGTGAAATTCCGGGGATTAACAATTATATACCAAATATAAAAATTGATTATGTATCTTTTCTTGTTCTTGTAATGTCTCGGAATAATGTGTCTTTTGAAATATTTTGAGGGAATATTTTTCGTTGTGGCTTTTTGAGGCAATATTTTGAAGTTGCGTTCTTCACCCAATACGCAAAAAAAAAAATGGCAAAAATTACCTGGACTCGTGACGATGATTAAAATACTATTGGGAGCGAACTTGCAAACGCTGGGAATAATGCTCTTGAATACATCGAGATTACTACCAAGTATTTCACCAGGTTGTTGATGATCCTGCTGTCTGCCACCTGCGGTGATGACGCAGACAGCCGCATCTCTGGCCGCACTGTAATCTGGACAGGTTAACATTACCGCTTATGGCTTCATCTTACCACCATGATACCTTCTTCTCGTGCAAGAACACTCGCTAGTTTGACCTTTGAACTTGCGTTGAGACTCTCATATGCTATCCTATACCTTCACTCACCTTTCGTACCAACAATCTTTGGATTACCCAGGAAAGCACCCGCGTGACTGATATCTTCAGCCTCTGCCCTTGCTAGTTGCTCATTGCTATCTATCAGTACTAGCTCTGAGGCGAGACGCTGAAAAATTGGGAAGAAATCCATCGAAAATGAAAAAATATCAAAATTTGAAAAATTTAAACTGTCAATTCAGGAAATAATGTTTTAAAGAACTTGTTAACAAAAATTTTCTAGTCATTAGACCTGATTGGGACCTTCTTCTTATATGATTATAACAAGATTTGTTGATTGATTCAATGAGATTAATTTATTTACAAATCGGAAACGAAGTGGTAATACGAGACAAGTCGTTTTCGAGTATTGACCACTCTTTGGTGAATATCTCGGAATCTAAGGATGATACCAAAATTTTTATTATAAAATTTTTTGTGGAGAAAATTGAGTTCTACAATAAATGTCATTATAAAAATTGCGCTATCTCCCTCAGATTCGGAGATATTCATCAAAAATCTATCGCGATACCACTTCATTCCTCAAATGTTCTAAAAAATCGGAATTGCATTGACAACACCTTCAAAATACAAACTATTTTCGTAAACAGAATGTAAATAAAACATAAAAGCTCTTGTTCTAGCTAGATCTAAATAATTTTGGATAACAAACTGCAATGGATCAGCGATTTGGAAAAACTGAGCCGTGACCATCAGTTATTCCTGCAAAATCTGATAGTCGATTTGAAAAATGAATAAATAAAAGTGTAAAAAATCTGCATAAATAAAAATGCGTGAAGGTAGCCTCAGTACCACATCAAACAAGCTGGTTCCTCCAATGTAACGCCATGCAATAATTCATTCCTGAGTAATTACACGTCCTGTACCCCTCTGGACCATGCTCTTGCCAATCGTATTTTTCCTGGTCCACTTTTAACTTATTTTCTATCCTCTTCAGTTTCTCCTGCTGTGGCACTCCTGCTGTGGTACCGATGGTACCCACTGCCGATCGTTACGTGTGTTTTCAACGGCACGAACTGTCGGCCATTCATTACAGAATTTCAAACGAGCATGCAACCCAAGGATTCGGTAGCGGTTCTTGTAACGCGTCGTGCATCTCAGCTCCACATATGTACGTATATGCATGAAGCATGTGCGTTCTCCATTTTTTGCTTCTTCCATTTTTTTTTTCTTTTTTTCCATTTTTGAGCATTCGCGGATGGAGCGTTGCATTTTTTTTTCCCCTCGGGATGAGCATGAATTCACGTGTAATAAGTCTAATCGCTCTTGTCTCCGTGGGGTCTTCATGAATCTACTTGTCGTGGAGAAAAAATTATCGTGAAATGTTACGTGAGGACGAGTGTAATCGCCAGGGTGAATTGTTATTTGAAGTGTTTTTACCGGAATAACAAATTATCTGGTACAGTATTTCCTTTTAATTCCAGAAATTTTTATTATTTCAAAAAGAATTTTTATCGAATAGACACCATTCCTGAATGTAAATAATTAATTAATTTACTGTAGGCCATTCTCCTACTGTAGATTTCCTCTCGTTAAGTAAATATATTTGACGAGAGTAATTATTTCCCCAGTGCTGATGATTTTTGTTTAAACTATCGATTTATCTCGAAAACCATCGATTCACCGTGAAAACACTAAGAGACTTCTTTTGTAGATAAATAAATTCTGAACAGAAAAGGTCGGATGATTGTTCCTCCTAAAACCAATAATTTCTATATTAATCAGTAATTAACTTTTACTTCTCCAGTAATCGATGTATTAGTGAGTTACTCACCCGTTGGTTCAACCCTAGACGATATTTAATCAACAGATGATACAAACTAATGACCACAATCAAAAAGAGGTACTCGTGCAAATCTACTCGTAAATTCTCGCTCAAGATAGGGCGAGGAAAATGGCGGCTCATAGGTTGTCAGAGGAATTTCACAGCATCTCCAAGGTGTTGAACACGAGTTTCTTGTGCTTGAAACTAATCTCGGTTGTTTACACTGGCAAAAAGATAGGATCTTCTTGGAGGGACAGGTGGTAAATGATGTTGGAGACTTTGGAACTGGATGTCTCTCATACAGCATCAGACGACCTCTCAGAGAGGGACAAATAGTCTTGGTGGACAAGTACCGTTGTAAATTAGGTCCTGGCACTGCTAATGGCACATTAAATGGCTTGAAATGTTGGTTGCATGTTGTGTCACCAAGTGATAAGCAGCTCGATGGATAAATTGGTGGTGTACGGCAGCAACTGGAGGCGTGAGCCGAAAATGGACGGACCGGGGAGAATTGGAATTGGATGCATTTTGGTGATACACTGTGGGCTCTTGTTGCCCATCCGGATGTACAGGCTGATGGACAATTTTCATACTTGGCAATTATACTCTTTATGCGGTCTGGTAGACTGAGACGTATGTTGGCACAGCAGGGAGTGCAATTGCTCATTGTTTTGGCCCTGTCAGGACCCGATTTTCACTCTTCATTCGACAGTGGGACGACATTTTTTTCCATATCCAATCTTTTTTCATTTAAATTTTGGGCTAACTGGTGCACATTTTAGGTGGGATTGTGGGGGGCGCACGTGAATTTTTTGACAGAAAATTTAACCTTTTTCTCAACTTCAATTTTTTTTTAGAGCCATAACGCATGTGTGTGATAACACGTGAAGAGATCGGGGTAATCAATCATTAGATTAATTCGTAATAAACTAAAATCGGCGAAATCTTATTATATATCGATAAATATTGATGAATTCTTAACGCGTGTTGCCTGGAATAAAAGTGACGATTTTTCGCGGAATCTTCACTTGATGTTGTGTAATTTTCTGGTAATAATTCCTGGGGATATCCAGTAAAAATTACTGAACAATTCGCGTATATTTCTTTTCTCGCGGTCAAATCGATCTTTGCAATTTGCAAATTTCTCAGCTAAATTCCGCGTGATTTGATAATACATAACTAACAATCGTCATTGCTCCTCTGAAATCGTCACGAAAGTGCCATTAAATGGAGTATAGATACCTCGAAGTAACGATCCGGGTCGTTAGCGTAAGTATATCGAGGATGTCCCGTTGCTCACCTTGCATCCGTTTTGTCACGACATTTGTTACTCCCTCTTAATGATGGACCGGACGGAAGTCCACCTAAAAATTATCCCACCCAGTTCCACTCCACCGGAATCGCGCGTCCACGATCACATGCCGATTACACATAACATCATACACACACACAGTCATTCCGCGAAAATTATAAAGACCACCTTCTCATACTGAGAAAATTGATCCTACAATTATATCCATAAGTCCCGCATACTCATCGTTATCTCCGATAAAAAGAATTAATTATCACTAATTAATTATCAATTACACGCCTCTCACACAAATTTTTCACTCACTTCCAAACTCAAAATCCATGCATAAATATTTACGTAAAAATAAGAATTTTTCTCTTTGCAAAATTGATACATTATTGTTGATACATTATTTATATTTTCCATAAGTTTTTTTGTGTTAACGACTGTTAAATAATAACTATATATTTAAACGTCAGTCCCATCGTAATTTTTTTAGGGGGAAAGGAGAATATTCTGAAGCATTTGATGGAATTTCCGAAAGAAAGGATAAACTGTGGATTTTGCTTGATTGAAAAATAAGAAGCTGGTTGACAAAGAGAAGTCTGAGAAGAACCGTTGGGACAAGAATTAAATTTCGTTGCTGGAGATAAGAGCCCCTGTTGGTCGTGGTCTTTGGTGAAAAAAAAACGAAAAAAATAAAGAATAAATAAAAGGAGAGAAAGACCTGCGGGTGCGCCCGGAGGACGTGTAAATGCTCGCCTTACGATCCGATAGTAACTTCTCTTTTCTCTGTCCAAAAGGGAAGCAGAATCCAGACACTTCTTTTCTTTCAGCATCCAATTTCCCCTGTTGGTTCATTAACATGAATACCCTCTCTCCCCTTTCCCCATCTTCCTCGGGGATTTGGTAGCCTGACTCTTCCTTTTCCTCTCATTTTTGCATCAACAAACAACTCCCGTCTGTATCCGAGTAAATCGAAACTCTCATCATCACTATTACCCATTCTCAAGAGAAAAATATTATCATTCTCAAATTTATCCCGACTTCATTAATTGGATTGAACAGAATTTTTTTAATGCCTCGCAGAATGGAAATTCGTAATTCTGTTGAGAAGTGGTGAACTAGGACGTGTATTTCTCTCGAAGCCAGTTTTTAATGAATATCTCACAATTGAAGAGAGATAGCGGATTTTTTGACTCTATCTTTTTTGTAGAAAAAGGTGAGCCCTACAAAAAAGGTAATCATAAAAATATCAGTATTTTTCTTCAATCCCGAGATATTTGAACAAAACTCATCTCAGGAAATGTGTGTTATTTTAGTTTAAACGTTAGGGAAATTTTCACTGAGAATTTTGCGTGTTAGGGTAATTTTTACCTCAACTTCACTATAATTATTCTGAAAACATTCCCCTTGGGTATTTTTTGTAAAAAAAAGTGGCGGTGTAAGTAAATAAAGTGGAATGATGAATAACGAGAGGGTGAGGATAGAGAAGTGGTTAGAGAGCATTCGAGTCTCAAATTACTAATGGCAATGACAGCTTGACTCCTGTGTCATCATGCAAAGGTCTCTTTTATGGGATTTTTAGTGCAGCCATTTGATCGAGCTATTTGGGTCAGTCGGAAGAAAATTGTATTGAATTACTCCAGTGGCTTCCATCCGACCAACGGGTTCTCTCACGATTATCAAGAAAGATTGGAGGGATTGGAGAAGATAGAATGATGAGATATCAGAATTGGTATCAGGATCGTGGGTTTACCTTGAATAATATCGACATTGCTGTTGCTATTCCCACATTTCCACTACCAACTATTGCGATCTTGACCCGGTGGACATCCGGAAGTTGATCCACTTGCTTCGTCAACAGATAAGTCGCTGTATTTTTGGGTTTCTCTGTCATCTTCAGTTATACCACTTAAAACACTGGAATTTTCTAACAACTGGAATTTTTTAATTGAGGTTAAATAATGAACAATTGTCGATCGAAACTACTTGGAAAAAATTTAAAAATGGAACTCCCTGGATTATCCTAAAATCCACTACTTCAATAACTCCTAAAATTACCTCATAATTACAATAATTACTCAATAATTCTTTCAGCCTTCTTAATTATTTTTCAGTCATTAACAAATCTAATAATATTAATATATGTAACTTTTCTTATTTTATTTAATTTCAGTTGATCGAATGATTTTTTTATTTCATCAATCCAATCATTTATTATTAATTACCTAGTTAATTTGAAATCGTATAAATAAACAAATAGTGATAAATTATGAGAACTAATTCAATCCCTCAGGATTAATCCGCAGAATAATATCTCGAGAACGAGAATTTTTATGGAATATTCGGTGTAAAGATAAAAAATTCCGGTAAATCAATTGACAATAGACAGGAAGCATATGAACCCGTATATAGTATATATGATCTATATACAGGGAAACTTGAGTCATAATATAATGACTTGTCCTCCGTTCTCCAGCTGGACACTAGAAGCACTTGAGAGGCACGAGCGAAATTTTTCATTTCCGCCGGAGTTCGCCATCGATTCCCATTTCAATTTATTTCATTTTTTTTGTTATCATCATCATCATCATCATCATCCCCATTAAATTTTTTTTTTCTCTACCAATTTTTATCCAGTGGGAATAAGAAACGGTTCTATAGCCCTTGATCGATCGCCAGATGCTCTATCGCGCAGGTGCGTGTCCCGATCTCTTCCTCTTTTATTCCTCATTCCTCTTTTATCCATTGGCAAAGGACTTTACGTATGGATACTAAGATTCTCATTTCCGATAGACTTAACCAACCAGTCGTACCCGCTAGCTTTCCATTCACTATTCACTAATTTGATTTATTTTCCACTGGAATTGAATTGTTTTCGATTGTATTTCTTTATTTTACCTTTTACAATGAATAGTCGAATGTACATTATGCAATTTCTTGGGAATAAGAACAGGAAAGTAGGGAAAAATGAAGAGGAATTCAATGGAAGGGAAATTGAATTCAGTAGTAGAGCGGTAATGCGAGATAAGATTATTCTGATGATATCGATGAGAGAAGAAACTTTGATGGGAATTTCGTTGGAATTTTAAAATATGTCTGACAAGTTCTCCTGCGCCCGTTAGTCTTCATAATGATTACTAAATATTCTGCAAGTGAATAATTTTTTGGGAGATAATGTCCCGATGATTTAAAAAATACAGAGTGAAAATGAAATAAATAAATGATCAAACTCCATCAGTGATAAAAATCACGATTAGGAATTATAATTCTATGGATAATCCTGCATTTTACACTCTTTCTTTTTCTCTTTCTTTCCTAATTTTAATATTTCCGTTTCTGGAAAGATGATTTATGATTTTATTTATTTATTTTATTTATTCCAGATAATTACAATTGAATTTATATTTAGTACAGCCAATGCCTAAAGCAACAGAATGCAAGAAATATCAATGAAAATACAAAATAGAAATGGAAGAAATCCAATGACTTAAATTGCCCAATGGAAAAATATGATGTGAGAATTTTGACGAACGAATCAGCTCGACTCATCATCATCGCGTGACTCCTGGAGTATGCCACAATCACGCAGTGTATTTCGAATAGCATCAGCACATGCCTGAACACATGACTTCTCCTGGTCAGTTAATTTCTGTCTAACAGTTTGATGAACGCCTTCTCTACCAAGAACACATGGTATCGACATGTAGACGTCCTTGTCGGTGCCGTGAATGCAGCTCTGGGGTATAGAAATGAAAATCAAAAGAGATAATAAAAAAATCTAAAAGCTCTTCGGCACCTAGTGAATCACTCATCGATCGTGATCGAAGCCGAGGAGAAAAGAATTCTTACGTGGATGTACGTGGAGACCGGGATTACGACCTTCGTGTTTCTCAGGATGGCATCGACAATCTGGGCTGTGCATATACCCAGGCACCAGGAGCTTGGACCGTTCTCACCCTTTTCACCATTCAACTTCGATTCTGTCTCGTTCATCGCATTCGTTACCTCGTACCACCGCTCTGGATCACTTGTCTCACCCATTCGTGGATTTATATCACGGAGTTTCATCCCGGCTACGTGAACACTTGACCAGACTGGAACTGAATTGCGAACATCGGAAAAAAGTTGGCGCAAATTACTAGACTATTTGGGATTATTCAACTATCCGTGGATATCTCGGGATTGAAGAGAAATAGGAAAATTTTCATTACTATCTTTTTTGTAGATCGATTTGTGGACCAGAGAAAAGATTTTTTCTGAAATTTCGATATCTGTCGTCGTTTAGGAGATATTCGAAGATAATTGGAGCTGAAATCAACGCAGATGTCCATTTATCGACTCATCAATTAAAATTGTTACTACAATGATACATCACGACGGAAATAATAAAGCTACTGTTGATATAAAACAAAGAAGACATATGTTCCATCGAAGAAAAATAAATTGAAATTGAAAAATTGAATATTTATCTTCACGCATTGACTGCGATAAAATCATATAATTCTTGAAAATATCTTCCTTTCTGAAAACGAAACACCAATGACGCGGAAACAGAGGAAACTCTTTATTATTTCCTCTAAAAATTCCTCGAGATCTTGACTGATTGATACCTCAATAGGAAAACCCAACATCCAATTTAACATTACGTCACGGCACGTGATAAATCAAGAGTTTGCATAACACGATAACCCGGATAAATGTTGAAAGATCCTTAATATTTTGAAATAAAAAATAAAACAACTTATTCCACAGAGCGAGGTGAATCGATCCTCGACTGATACTTTACCTGAAGTCTCTCCTTGAGCTCCAATGCTCATACAGCTGACGGATGAGTTGGCAAGACCCAGCCTCTGTCCCAGATAATACTGGAATCTCAGGGTATCGATTAAAGTGCCACTTCCAAGGACTCGATTCGATGGAAATTTTGACAGCTTCCAAGTGATGTAGGACATGACATCAATGGGCTGAGTGACAACCAGCAAAACAGCACGACAAGCAAACTTGGCAATGGCAGGTACAATTTTCCTGAATATCTCGACATTGTGGCGGATATTGGGCCTCTCCAGTGGGCCAGTCTCACCAATAGCTATTACTACAACAGCTGATTCCTTCACCATGGTTATATCTGTTAAATAAACCAGTGGTAGTCAACAAAAATAAACATAGAGTTGAGACAAAACGAGGTGGACTTAATGAAGACACGAGGAGATTAAGATATTCTAATGTCCCTTTCCAACGGTATTTGAGAGAAGCTGTTGAAGAAATCGTGTGTATACATTTTCATTCCGAGAATACTATCCCCTTGGTCTTTTTCAATCCCACCGAGGATTTTACAGGCTTCCTCACATTGTCAACCGTGAAATCATCATTTTCGTCACGAACTCTGATCTAGATACGCTCCAATGTTTATTTTTCTGTTTCAACATCGGAAAACACCAGTAATAATGGGGTTTCTGGAATTCCCATGGTTTTGAGGAAATTTCAAATTTACTTGACACTTTTTTTTTTGGGGTACGCCAGGTAAGAAACTGATTAAGATATTCGGGATATTTATGGGACAGGACGAACCCTGAAGATTTAGTTTTGCATCAACTGGTGAATCTCGCATAAATTAAAAAAGGCAACAGTATGAATAATAAAGAATTCCACCTGAGATATTTGGAAGGGAGATTGTGCGATTAAATTGTTCTTCTTTCACAGGGGATCAGACTTTTGACGATTTCCGTCGTTTCAAGTGCTGGATAAATAGATCGGTATAAATAGGTAATCCGGATGATTCGAGGGGGGAGATAAAAGCTGTAGCTTGTGGGGGTTTTCTTCAGGTATTGAAGAGGAAGGAGGAAAGAAGAACGGGTGAGAGATCGGTTGACGAGATTAGTGAAGAATGAGTGGGGACGAATGGACCTGGTGAGCGTGTCTTTCCATCGTCCGAAGAATCGTGTCCTGACCACTGAGCTGTCTCTCTGCCTTTTTCCACGTAGATAAACCCTCGACGCGACGAGCGTGATCCGTTAAAACGACCAATCCTGCACCCGTTGATAGGACCAAGCCCTTGGAATTAAAAATAAACACCGGGGAATCGACATTCTTTATTTCAAAGTCATCGACGAGCTGGGGAAATGCAGGTGGACCCCTGTCAGGTGTCATTTGTCGTTTCATATTAGAATTTTGGGATTTTCAGAATTTCGGAAAATTCAACAGCTTGAGGGGCTGAAGAAGATTGAACAATTCATTTTTCAGGGTGAGGGATGAGGGGAGAATAATTAGAGAAGACATTAGGAATCCATGGATTGATTATAATCAATTATATAGTTAAATTATGTAGTTAATATTATATTATATCAATTACAATTAAAAACCGTCTCAAAAAAATTTCTCATTCATCCAAAAAATTCGAGAAAATTGCAATTTTTGTATTGAATCATACGTAATTTCAATAGAAGCTTGAGTTTCCCATGCATCATAGATTGTACAAACATTGATTAGTACCTGTACTTTTATTTAAAAGAAAAGAGTTCTTAAAACCGCTCCTTTCTGTAATTGTATAATTTCCCTCATTGCGATGTACCCAGGGGAGTAAAAAAATGTGGATAAAAAAAATCGGGAGAAACAGGTGAATGAGCTTGAGGGAAAAGATTTGGGGAATCCTTACCGGCTGTACCACTGACCAACGGATTCCCCAGGAAGATGCCAGCGTGCCGGATGTCCTCGGCCTCGGCCTCCGCTCGTGCCGCATTCTTGTCGATCAGACAGACTTCGCTCGCCATTCTCTGTGCCATTTTGCCGACAGATTAATTGCGGTAATTACCCAATATTTTTATGTATCCCTCTCTTATATTGTTATTTTTACCATTCACATACTTGCATGAGGATAGCAATCGCACAGGCAATGCCAACCTTTCCAGTTCCAACGACCGATACCTTCAGCCTGTGAGGATATGTATCGCAGGGGCTCAGCTGATTAGTAATCAAAGCATTTTTCGTGGTCGTTGTTATCGGTCCCCTGTCAACCTGCAGTGAAAATCCCACGTTAATAATAATCATCAGGAAAATGGAAAACATGGAAATTCTCTTCACGTTTTACCTGTGAGTCATCCGGAGTTTCAGGGCATTTTGCATCGGCATTGACAGTAAGCTCTTCCTCCATCTTAACCTATTCGGGTGAAAGGAATTCTCTAGGCGATGAAAAATAATGGGAAATGCCGTGTTGCATAATTATTAGACTCTTGGATAACAAAATACTTCATTCACACTAAAATTTTAGACCGGACGTCGTCGATGATAGGATTGATCATTTGGATTTAAAAAAAAGGATTACCGTCTTTTATTTTGTTTAGGCGTTTTTATAAAAAATAATATAGTTAACGCCCTCTTATTGGTCCTCCTCTCGTTAGAATTTATTCGTTTTTCTCAGTACCTGGAATTAATTAAAAAATCAATCGAAAGTGAACCCGCAACACATTTCTTTAATCACGCACCCTCGTTACTCCACCGTTACACCAAAACAAATCGGGTGGTCCATCGTTTATTCTCAACCTGTTCTCGTATACGCAATCCAGTTCTACTTATCTCGTTATGCATATTAGTTTTTGCTTTTTTATTTGTTCATGTGTTTGGACTGTATGAGACTAGTTATACGGTTGATACAAGAGAGGAGAGGAAAGCAGGACAGGATATTCCACTTTTGTGTAATTAAAAAATCTGGTGCAGGTATTATTACAGAATTTTTTACAAGAAAATCAAAATCATTATTCAATAGCATAATTGATTGATTGATTGATTGATTGATTGATTGATTGATTGCTAATTATAGTTTAGATAAACATTCTTCAAGTCGTTAACACATTTCGAAAAAATATATATCAAAGATCAAATCGAATCCCAATTGCGCAATTATTATCAGCAGAGTAATAAATTTTTATTAAAAAATAAGCGTTTTTATCCACATTAGACTGATTATTTATTTTCAATCCCCATTGATAAAATTGAATAAAAAACGTGCAAGAAGATACAAAAGAAGAGAATTGTATTAACATGCGAATTAAAGGAGTCGTCGATAAAGGACGAGTGCAATTTATGGTAAGACCTTGAGTGCGCGTATCGATAATAATCGGAAGCGCCGTCGTATTTTTTAACGGGTCCGAATTTTTTCGATGGCGATCAGTTCTCCACCTCAGGATCCCAGGTATTGGCCACATGGTGGCCTCCCTCGGTGCCGATTTTTTACATCGCACGTGGGTCCACCGACAGGTTTGCTCGGGGTATACCAATGGCATTCAATTTTAACATTAATAATCACTGAACAAAAATGACGAGCAAATCTCCTCCTCCCCCCTCCATCCAATCCCCCACCAGATCGACAGATCGATACCGCGAATGCGTGCCGTAACCATTCAGACTCTCTGATTTTTTTCATTCTCATCCTCTCAGCCCTTTATGATGCGAGATAGAATCTCACAAACCTCAAGCCCTTACTGGCCCATAGGTAGCTGGTAGATACAAATGATTCTCTCAGCTCGCACCAAAAGTTATATTGAATCGCGTCAAATAATATACGAGCCAATAATGTACGCAATCAGCGGTACAATTATCTGCCTTTATCCTCGATTCTTATCTGCGCGAGTGATAATAAAAAAATTGTCGGGGTAAATTAAAAGGCGATATCCTCGGTGCAAATCATTATTTACGTGATTTACCCTCGGCCCTTGCTTCATGCTCAGTGTCAATAAATTCAATGATCGATAGCAATCTGAAGATCATATTCACTTATTTCGAGGAATTTGTTAAGATGTTTTTGGTAATAATTTTTTGTTGTATTTTTTATTGAAATTATGATTGTTAATTGATTTAAGTGTAAATTATGGATAATCAATTGATATTCATCAATACATTATTTATTCATTAAGAAAAACAATTGTTTTTATTAACTGGTTTTATAATAACTCGCGTATTTTAATGTTTATTATTATTGAAAAGTCATTATGGAGGGGGTTAGAATATTTATAATAAGAGCATAAACAAATTAAAATCTAAATCATGAGGTGATATAAATAAAAATAAAGGTGATGGTAATAAGAGCAATAGAGATAATGAAGATAATGAAAATAATCGGGATAATGAACCGCGAGTGTATATTTTTTGTTGAATGAATTTTTTGCAATTGTTTTGCAAAAAATGGGATGAAAAATCCGCTGGTCTTGCTACAATGTTGTGATGTTCTCGGACTGATAAAAATAAATCTGATACACCTAGGGATAAGATTATAAAGGAAATACTATTGACAAGGTTGTCATTGATATATTATAGATGTTACTCCGGTGTTTTTTTTTTTTTTTAAACTTTGAGGAAACCGAGGAGTAAATGGCATCGTGTGAACGACATGGCGATAAAAAGTTGGACTACAAAGGATAAAGGGAGTCCTCATGCTGGACTTGCATGCCGCAGATACATAGACTTGTATATAGACCACTGTATATACGGGTAAGTGAGCGTTTGCCTTTGCACGCGGAATTTTAATTGGCTATTTGTTTGCCACTGGATTTTAGACATCCACTGGGGCCATTGGCCATTGTTCTCATGCCAATAGAGCCGATCCTCCAGTGGTTCAAAAGCCATTCTTTATTTCACCCCAGTGGATATTCCTGTCTAGCTCGACTCAAGCAATTTTCCGAATTTTTATCGTCATCACTGCAGGGAGAGAAAAATTCAATGGAAATTACTAGGAGAAGAACGTCAAAATTACGGTTCGAACTGGAATCCGCGAGTGAAGTGATGTTCAATAAAAAGTGGGAGTTGGAATTGAAATTGGATGAATCGTCACGGGAATTTTACCATTTGTACCGTAAAAATTACCCACCAGTCTGATGACGTACCGCTGGGTTGACAAATCATTGCGTCATTTTTTCCCAACGATCGAGAAATTTTACGGAATAAAACGCAGACACAATACACCAGTTCATAAAAATCGTTGAATGTTCATGAATTGTTTATTTTTGAGGCACAACAAGTCGAGAATTTTCAGTGAGATCTTACTTGTTCGGGTAAAATTACGTGACAATTTCATACTTTCTTCAGTGACGAGCTTGAGAAATAACTTCAAGTTTCAGATTTATTTTCTCCCATTCCCATAAAACTATGCAAATAGTATAATTTTTCCTGAATATTTATAAAATATTAAACAAACATAAACATTTGATTTTTCCCGAATATCTGCTCCAGTATTTGTCCCCGTACACCCACACGCAGTTCTGTACTACTTTCCCGATAATATCAATTCCACAAGCATTAATAATATAAATTAACAAATGAATAATCTTAATAACAACCGAGTTGTAAAATGTGACAAAACTTTTATCAGTACTACTCCGTTATTTATATTATTATCATTGAGCTGGGGGAAGTAATTCCAATGATAATCCATGCTTTATCGATATTTTGCGATATAATGTACACACATAATGGTGGTATAATGTAGAAAGACGAGCGTTTCCCACCCGAGTTGAGGTGCACACGCATAAATAACAAACATCCGCACACTGGTGCACGTCTCTTTCGTTGGCTCTGGCATTTGCAACCTTCAACGCGGCTCCAATGGTCCAGCCCTCGAGGAACAAGGAGAATCCAGCATTTTACTTCCTAGACACTCACAGCTCGCTGAAATATCACGGTTAACTGGTATATCGTATGTACCGGTATGAACCGTGTATCCATGACTTTTACATACCCTATGTGCTATGTATTCCGTACAATAATCCCTTGGCATCGTCTCCCCCTGGACTGCCTCCCCCCGCAACGAAATATATATTAGAATATCTGGAACAACTTGGAAAATATTACAAGTTAAATATGAATTATTTAGGGTTACGTCAATTGCTGCAATTATTGATTTTTAATACACGCGTTTTTCGCGCGGAAATTCGCGCGGGAAATCTATATTTAAAAGTGACAGAATGGAGGAGTCAATTTTATATAGTTATTTAATTAGAAGAAAGTATGTGTATATAAAGTATATAAAGTATGTATAGTTATTTAATTAGAAGAAAGTACTTTGTAGCTACTGGATTCTATTAGTTATCGAATAAAATTCCTTGATGCTATAATAAAACATTATAAATTCGAAACTGGAGTTTCTAGATTCGCAAAAGGAGTTGATAAATCCTAGAAATCTTCTTCAACATAAAAAAAATGTCTCGCCTTAAAAAACGCATTTATTAATCCTCAGACATAATGATAAAATAAAAACTAGGAAAAAATCAAGGATTAAAAAAATTATCCTGATTATTCATTGGTAAAAATGAATTTATCTGGATTTATCTCTGTGTACAATTCACTTTTCCCAATCTCTCTCTTTCTAAAATATCCTCGACTTTCCGATTCAATGTAAATTTCAATTCCATTACAATTAAAACAATTTCCGAGAATTTCTCACCCAGTATTTGACCCAGAATTTCCATTACATCCCGCAATTTCCGGATTTTACCAATGCATCACAAACTTTTCAATTTCCCCGCGCATTGATTTATTCGTCTCATTTTTTTTTCTCACTTTATCGAGCAATTTTTTTGGTGGATGCACATCGGAAGGGGCGAGGCCGTTGTGCACAATTGTTTATGCCCGTGTCCCGCCCTATCGGGACGCATCGGATACACACACGCAACGCCATAAAAAAAGGGTGAAAAAAAAAGAAAGAGAGAGAGAAGAGGTGGAAAAAAGGGAGATACGCACTATAATGCCAGATGAAGGAGAGAAGAAGACACTGTGGCGTCATATCTCGAGGGATAGTCGAAACCACACACGGCCCATTCGTTACCGATGGTATGTACCCCCTTGTGTATCTCAGCTCATGGGGGACGTTCTCGTGGAATTTATATACTCGGGCTTCATTGTATACCATGTGCATCACGAGATTTATAATATCACCATTTTTACGGAAGAACCATTACTCTCCCTCCTCCCATGAAAATCTATTTTGAATTATTCGAGAAATTAGTACGGATACGCGAGAGCGCGGAGAGACAGATGATTGCAGCATTTTCGATTATTACAATTGCAATGTGTGCAATCATGCCAGTACTTTCTTCACTTGCGCATGCATTACACTCGGAAAGACTCCGAAAGGACTGTACTGGTAGAAAGATTATTTTAATTTCAGTCACAGTTTTATGAATTTATAATTATGGGAGGAATCGTTGAGTTTTAATTGAAAACGTTTTCTGAATTTATTATTCGTATTTGAAATTTGGAGCGTTGAGGTTTTGATGGATTTTTTTATGAAGTGTGATTGACTTTTCGATTGATTGGAAATCTAGAGAAGTTAATGACTAGGTTTTCAACAATTTCATTATTTTTCAGTGGAAAAAAGGGTAATTTTTTTAATTTAGTAAGGAAGTGAGACTGAGATGAGGTGACATGAGTATTAATTAAGTTTTTTAACAATATCTTCGAAACTAACGGATATATCGAAATTTTTATAATTACATTTGTTGTAGAACTAAATTCTCTCCACAAAAAAGGTCATGACAAAAATTTCGCCATCTTTCTTAGATTCTGAGATATTCATCAAAAACCAGTCAATATTCAAAGGCGGCGTATCTCCTTTCACCACTTCGCTTCTAAATAAAAAAAAATCCATAAAAAATCGTAGATATTCCCTACAATTAAATCTAGAGTGCACTCCATGGTGAAATCGATCCGGTGATTGATTATCCCGGAGGTAATTACTGAGAATGATTTTTAAGAGTTGGTAGTCTTTTTCATTACGATCAATTTCAAAACGAGAAATCTTTTCTTTCTCTGTGGCGATCTGAATGTGGAAAAGAAGCAATAATTGAGGGGGTTATGAAAAATGCTGGGTTTTTAATTTTTTTTTTCTATTTTTTGTATCGCACATGAGATTGCAAGAAGTGTCGTAAAGTTATGCTGCAGTCATTCGGCATATTATATGATGTACGTTATGTACATCCGTACATATCGAAGCCGGGGTGGTATGGGGCTCATAATACAAACCCTATACGTAATTACCGGATCGCAAGGAAGCTTTATGACCGCGTACACCTTGGGTTTTAATTTTCTCGAGGCGGACAGGGCACCGAGAAAGAGAAATTGCGAGAGAATGAGAAAAGAGGCCACGAGCAAGATACAATTCTCCTCGTACTTCAGATGAAAAACCATTTCTAAATAATAGAAATACCGCAATTAATCAAAATTGTTCACCGAACTCGTGATGCGCAAAAAATTCAATTAGACGGGGAGAAGAATCTCATGGAAATTACCAGAAAAAGAACGTTAAAATTACGGTTCGAACTGTAATCCGCGAGCGAAGTGAAGTTCAATAAAAAGTGGTAGTTGGAATAGAAATTGGACGAATCGTCACGGGAATTATACCGTTTGTACCGTAAAAATTACCCACCGGTCTGATGACGTACCGCTGGGTTGACAAGTCATTGCGTCATTTTTTCCCAACGATTGAGAAATTTTACGGAATAAAACGCAGACATAATACACTAGCCTCATAAAAATCGTTGAATGTTCATGAATCGTTTATTTTTGAGGCACAAGTCGAGAATTTTCAGTGAGATCTTACTTATTCGGGTAAAATTACGCGACAATTTCATCCTTTTTTCAGTGATGAACTTGAGAAATAACTGAACGTTTCAGAGTTATTTACTTCCATTCCCATAAAACCCCGAAAAACTATTCCTCATTTCAAATTATGCGAATCGTTCCGTAATTTTTACTGAATATTTCTCTCCGTGCATGCCGCAAATTTCTTATCCACCATAATTATTCATATCACATTATTTAATATCAGTTAATTCCATTTGTATTTGCAGAGATAAATAAATGGTCCCATATAAAGTCCCGCGCAAAATTCGAAGTGTTCGGAGTGCATAAAATGCGAATTGTGGGAAATCTAGTCACGGGTTTGGCGTCATTTTTTCTCTGTGAAAAGTCCTTCGATTCTGTGAATTTCATTTAAATAAGAAATAAAAATGGCGGTGTTTATATACATATATAGGAGCCACCGTGGACGCACAGTAAATCCTTAGCGGCGAACAAAAGAGACACCAAGCAATATCAAGTGGCACTGACTACTCTCTCGATCTCCACCATTTATTTTCGTGCTTCGAGATATCGCTGGTTTTTTACCTTCTTTCATGTTAAAGGAATACAATGCAGGGACATCAATCTAATGAAAATTTTATACCCCTGTGAGCACATCCTCCGAGAATTCGTGGGCTAGATAATCATTCCTAGACTACAAAGCCAATTCAATGAACTTCAATTAAATCATTATGAAATTTCAGACAGAGCGAGAGAGATACCCTGAAAATTTAATTAATCACCAGAATTTTAGTTAATTTATCTCGATTTATAATTTGTGAATATAATGTGAATTTTTACTGTCGAATTGCAGATTTTTATTTAAATTAATTATTTCAGGATTTTTTCTTTTCGGAAATCGCTTTTACTTCTATTTCTATAAAAAATTTAAACGATTTTTGAAACATAATTATGAGTTATTAATAATTTATTTATAATTATGACAATTCGAAATTTCTCACAACGCACATCAAGCTGTTATAATTAATTTAAAAAATCGTAGAAAAATCGGATGAACTCAAAATGTTGCTATTCTTCTGGAATTCCTACAAAAAAATAAATACCCACAACAACGCGAGGAAAACTTCACAAATGATTCTCCCACAATTACTCGCAAAATCATTCCATCCCATCCATCAATTAAACAATCCATAAATTATAACAATTCCAAATAACCTGATACGAAAAAACATGATTACATAATATAAAAAATTGAAAAAAAAAATCCCCCCCAAATAAATAATCCATATCAGTACCAACTAAATACTTATTGACCGACAAGAATGCGAAATATAAAAATCTCAACAATTTCTGTGTACCTAACCCGTCCATAATTTATCACATAAACGATAAAATATTGACGATCAGCGGATAGCAGCCTCCCCTTCGCCTAGTATATTCCACCATTAACCATTAGCATTTATATGAATTCTGAATAACCGTTGGGATGAGACGTGTGTGGATAGCGGAATAAAATAGTTAAAAATTTTCAGTAAATCCATACCCGATATAAAAGAAGGAAAATGTATAAAGAGGAAGCGATCGAGTGGATCGGCACAAAGCCCGAGGAATACCAGTATAAAGAGGTGAAAAAGGGATAAAGATGGAGAGAGCTATCGCTCGGAGATGAATTATGTTAAACGCCTGTAAATACATGTATGCCAATGTGCAATGTTGGGTTTAAAAGAGGGATGCATATTCTCAGTCACAAGACACCGCGTACCATTCATCTTATCGATTTATATTAAATCGCCTCGGCAATGACCTGACATACGCTCTAAACTCCACAGCATAGACCACCAGTTCATTTTCTTGTCTCTCTTACATTTTTTTATTGAAAATGTATATCGTCCCTTGACGTAACTTTTCGTTTTGTTTTTTCCATCATCTTTTTATGGTATATATGTATGTACTTTTTCGGACACAAAATGTCCTCAAAAACTGCTGTGATGTTACCAAATATGTGTAAAGAGCCTAATCGGCTATATATGGATAAATAAATAATAATAATATATCGTCCCTTGACTATCGTATCGTACGCTCCAACCATCGACTCTTGAATTTTTATATAAATATAAAATAATAAATAAATTCTCCCCTCAATCAATTAACTATTGCAATATCGTAATCATTATTTAATTATTAATCGAATTATTAATTATTATTATTATTAATTGAAGAGACAAACGTGGAATTCCATTTTTATTTAGAGTCTACGTATTAATAATAATTTTTGTCCGTTAATTAAATAGGGTATTCACACTAGTTATCGTGAAAAATAATCATTATGTACATGTAACAATTAAATAAATATTTCATTCGATAATGTCAACATTACTGATTAATGCCCTCTTTTTATTTTTATTAAATTGATTATTAATTGAAAATTTATTATTTATTTTCGTATGGATTATTGTTCCGTTGGATTTTTAATGTTTATTATTATTGTTTTCATTTTAAAAAAGATAAAAGAGGGAAAATGAAAAAATGGAAAAATGGAAAAATGGAATGAAATGGAAAAAATGATGAGAAATCACGGAAAATCAACAAAAATCCAATGCCCTATGTGAAAATGCATAAACATATGTACATCGATTGGCAAGTGCAGTGATAAAAGAGGGTACAAATAAAATATGAGAATGAGAGAAAAAAGTAGGTTGAATGCATAACGCATGGCATAATGCAGAAACTCTGGGGTCTCTGGTGATTTATACAGAATCATATCTCAATCCGAATGTCTTCATTTTTAACGCACAACTGCGGTGCCGTTTTACCCCCTTGTACTTTCTTCTTCATATCCGGGCATGACACACACCGCCGGCAACGATGAGATAAAATAAAAGAAAATTAATGAAAAAAAAAGGGGGGGGGGGCCCAGGGTTTTGAGATAACTCACTTCATCTTTTTCTCTATTTATTAATCTCTCCCTCTGACTCACTGTGAATTTCAGGAAGAAGCAGTTTAATTTCAACCAGCCGAGTCTCTCGCACTTGCAGAGTGGACACAGCAAACAAATGGAGGAATGAAAGAATGAGTTGAGAAAAAATAAATATTAAAAGTGAGTGAAGTGCCTTGGAGGGCCTACGCAGTTTTCAACTCGTACTCTGGGGGATACACCAATGATGGAGAATTTTGCTACGGTGAATATATATTGCAGCAATATGTGTGGGATGATGAAATTTTCGACGACTTGTGGTTTTCTTCAGGGGGGTTATATTTATTTGACAGTCACAGCAACTTCATCTGTCTCGAGAGAACATCGAGTTAAATTTTTATATCAACTTGGACTTTTTGGAGATGAGATTGAGATTCTGGAAACTCATTTTCAATAGATCCTTAATGTTCACCAGTCTCTGACGTTTTACCGGCACAAGCTTCTTCTTCTTCTTCATTTTTTAAATTCTTTTCTTTTGCCTCTATCTCTTCAGCTCCTCTTCGTGTACTTATGATTTTTTTTCTGGCATTTTCAAGAGCACCGGAGTCATCACGTGGTGCTGTGTCTAGGCGCTTCCTCTTCAGTCGAGGACTTTCCGAGTGGATCCACCACTCATCATTGCACAATCAGACGTCTTTCGTGGACTTGTGAGGACCACCAGTCCAGTCATTAATCGTCAAGAACGTTCGTTAGTTTTCTGGAATTTTTTATGCACTTTTGGTATTTATTGTGTCTCGTTATGTTAATTTAATTGGAAGGTTAAATTAAAAGTCATTCTAAGAAATCAGGAAATTACTGGCATACACTGTTGAATTTTTTTTCAATAGCGAAATTGTTGTAAAAAATGAGTTTTCTGTATTTATTATTAATAATATTATTCTATAGTGCACAGAAATATTTTATATTTCATCTAAATATATTCGATTTTCGATGAATATCGATGAGAAATCGATTTTCACACGATTCTAATAACAATTATGAATTATAATATTTATATTAGGTATGTAAACACTATATAGTATATAAGATATTTAAATAAGGTATAAAATATAATTGTTTCAAGTATTTATTCTGTTAAATTCTGAAATTTGTCTTTCGCTTGTCAAAAAAAGACATAATTTCTCTCTTTATAAAAGTCCATAAAATTATTTTCAACACTTTATTGACGAATGCAGACTTTGACAGTGATCCAAGATTTACAGGTGTGTAAACCGTGTCCTGAAAAGACAGGGGGGTAAAAATGATTACCCCTGAAGCCAATGGCTGGGTGTTAAAATTCGAAGATAAATTATCTTTGATTACATTCGGAAGGAGTCCCAGGGTAGAGGTTTAGTGGAGAAATATATAAAGAAAAATTCTGAAGATAGTGCGAAAGGGAGGGATTGCTGCAAAGGGCACCGTCCAGGCATTAAACGTCACTCGGTTCCATCGTAAACCAAAAGCTCATGCTGACCACCGGTCAACGCACCTATTTGCGCTACACAACTGCACCTTCAACTCTTCTCTACCAACTATTCGCAGATAAAATCCTCTCCCCAGTGGGAATGCATACCTCTATAACTCGACAGATTCACGCGAGTTATGCCGAATAAAACGCATGCACTCAGAGAAAAATTCAGTCAATTTCTTTAAAATACTCTCTTGAAACTAACAAATAAAATGAATTAATTCATTGCGAGTCCTGAATATTGAATCGAATCAATTTGTTTAAAACAATTTGTTGTTGAAGAATTCAAATGTGAAATTCTGTAGCAAAGTGGTAAATTAGAACAAGTGCATTTTTTTCGCGGCCGATTTTTAGCCGATATCTCGATATTGAGGAGAGATACCAATTTTTTTATGGATATCTTTTTTGTAGCTCTCATCTTTTTCTGTATAAAATGTTCATATAAAAAATTCGCTCAGATCCTTCAATTCCGAGATATTGACAAAAAACCTGACCTCGAAAAAAATGCACTTATCCTAGTCTACCACTTCGTTACTGAATTAGCATTTGTTAATTAATAACTAATTAATCATAGATTATGCCTTCAACTTCAACACATAGCCAATTTTTCCTGCATTGTTGTTAATAAAAAATACAAATTTGTTCCAATAAAATATAATAACAAATTATTACACTTATTTAATTATTCCTTTGAGGTCATCGATCCGGGGCTGACAAAAAAAGTCAGAAGAGGGAGAAGAAGATAAAAATAATCATCTTGAAATAATAAAATGTTACATGATGCTGTTAATTAAGCGCGATGGATACCTTATGCGAACGAGCAATGGCTAGAGTCAATCGTGCCAATCGACGCTCTCCCTTGATAAAAATTCCACAGATTCTTTCCAGTCCCTCGGATTACAGGTACTCAATACCTAATGCATCGCATACAAAAGGTGTCTCCCAGGATAAATAAATAAAAAAAATATAAATCGCCAGTGTAAAAAGGTAATCGTCGTTTTTCTGGTCGTAATGAAATGCACTACAAACTAAATAAACAAGTACGTCGGGGCATTATATACTGCTTCATTGAATCCCTATGTATTTTCTATCCATGTATCAATATACGTATAATAGGGAGAGTGAATTTATCCTGGCCAAGGTGGACATTTATAAATGTATTTTGCTGAGTGTGAATAAGTTGCAGGTGACCAACGCACAATGGTGAGTCACTTTGCAATAATTTTGAGCTGTCGTTATTTTTTTATGGATTACAGAGAATAAATGTTTAGTTGAATCTTTAAAAATTCAACTATCACATTGTGGTAAAAAGTTAATTGATTTGAGTAATCATCGATCATTAGCGAAATGAATTATTCAAGACAGCAAAAAATCGACACAATATTCACACATTGTCGATATATTATTGATTTTCCTTCTGTATTAATGACGCATTAAGTGTCTATCGAATAATAATTATTTAAGAGCATCTGTGGCTAGTTTTCTTTCGACATAATTGGGGCAATTATTTTCTGATTATTACTGACGTGCTTCTGATTTTTTATTAAATATTGAGATTTGTTTCGTTGATTGCGGTTTCGCAATTGCACTGATCTGACAGCCTGACAAACTTTACAAAGTTGATTTATTAATTCATATATTTTAACTGCCTGGAATTGTGACATGTTATGAACTTCGTCTTATCGCCTAATAGTGCGGCAATCGCTATTTGTAAATACTGGAATGGAAAACAAAAAGTACGAGTTCTTCGTGAAAAGTGAATTGTGTCAGCCAGAGAAAGTGTAATTGAAAGTGTATTCTAATATTCATAATTATTCTAATCAAATATTTTACGCGATAATTTAAAAAAATACAAATGGCAAATAAAAATATTATTTGTCTAATTGTTTTTACATTTTTACAACTCTGACAAAACGAGATATTTTTATTATTTTTAATATTTAATTGTTGTACTTGAGGTAGTCACGTATGTTAAATAATAGAAATAATTTACAAGTAATTTCTCTCGAATATTTACGCCAGGATTAAATAATTTCTTCAGACTGTTTTTTATTCCTCAAGGCTGAAGTTCAATGAAGTTGGTAATGAATAATTGTCGCCATGAGTTGACACGCAATGCTAGTGATCTCAGTAGATTTGCATTTTTTACTTAACCAGTTGATTAGTCGATCAGAAGCATCATACCCAGCAATTAAATATCTAGACATGCGCTTTGAATATCATTAATATAGTGTAAGACAATACCAGGAAACTTGCCAAGTATTATAACACAGCGAGTCGTATTCGTGGATGAGCAATAAATTGACTTGATTGAAAATTGTGCCAAGCAATCTGAAGATGAGAAAAATGATGAATGAAGGCCAGCGAGAATTAACTAGTTTCCCATCAATCTTGTTTATTCAAATAACAATTATATCGAGTGCAATTGATTTTTGTTATTGTAAAACCAAAGAAGATTTTTAGAGTTCAAACGGTAATTGAGGAATTTATTTATTGACAAGTGTTTGGTGGAAATTCAAACAAATATTTATTTTATTAACGAACCTTTGAGTTTATGAAGTTCAGAAATTCGCAAACTGAATATTGAGTTGTTTTCCACTTATCATTCGACCAGATCTGCAATTAATAATGATAACCGCTACATGAAACTCAAAATATTCATTTATTCGTGGAGATGTTGATAGACTTGATGAATCATTTTACAGATTTACTCAGAATGTTGTATAATTTTAAACGTTGGGAAATGACGCGTTAACCATTTACACAACATTTCTCTTCATTTATCATGTACATGAGGAAAAAACACGCGAATCGTTATTATTCTTTTCTCCACCGCGAAAATTGCGTTTGAAAAGACGATGCGATGAATTATAAAGAAATAAGAGATATTTCTTCAATCGCCAGAAATAATCCGTTGCATTTGATAAATTTTTAATTAATTAATGGCATATAAAAAAATATCATTCTGCTGAATTATTTATGTGCACACTCCCTTTTTTTTATTCAACAAAAGGGGAGTAAAGTGCGACTTATAATCTCTAGTCTCATGATTTTTTAATTAACGTTCTTAAAATTTTTTCTTCACCTTAATTAATATACAGACGCTCCCTTTTTTGTTTTATTCATAAAATTTGGGAATCCGGAAAAGTGGAAAACCAGGAAAGTCCACGGGGATAATTAGCGTGATGAAACGATACTCAGATTGTCTCGAGGAAAAATCTCATACGGGGAATGAAAAATTGTGCCGCCTATCGAAAGTCTAGTCTTCATAACGTCTCGTATCGTACACCAACGCACGTCTTATCATTCAAGCTCCGAAAAATAAATTATCGATAATCAGTGTATCATAGTTATAGTTTGAAATGACACTGACAGCATCCATTCGTATTAATTTCATCATGCGAGTGCTCCCAAGTTTTCAAGTATAAAATATTTTCTCCCCAAATTTATTCTTATATTTTATACTCTTTGATAAATATTAATCAGTCAGTGCGGAAAATCAATTGCAATGACTTTCGAAGAACAACCTAATGGTGAGTGCCCAGAAATAATTTTTAAGACACATCTAGAGTCTAAAAATGACAATAAAATTGATATAACATTCTCCTGGAAATTCGTAAATTAAAATTGTTCACTTGCAATTAATTTTTTTGTTAGAACTACACAATTTTTATTGACGTTTACAATTTTCCAATTGCCAATAAATAATCCCTGAAAATCCTCACATTTTATTTAAAAAACGTAATCCTCCCACAATTCTATAATAAATTATTCTGTAAATTACTCTCCGCCCGAAAAAACAACTTCAATGAAATAAAAAAAATGTTCAAAATGTATATTCGTCTCTAGATGCCTTGTCAAAGGAGCGATCCATCGATACAGCAATCGAGCTAGCAGGTATTGTACCAAAAATCGATAATAAAAGGATAATCGAAGCAATAATTAAACAATTCCTTGACAGGAACCGGAAGGTTCACCAAAAAAGTCGTGGCGATAGGTGCATTAATCGTCCTAAATGCATCATTCGTGACGACCAGTATAAGTCTGATATTCCCAGCAGCTTCTTGCGATTTTAATTTAAGTACCCTAGACCAGGGAGTAATAACAGCAACACCTCTTCTAGGTAAGAAAAGTATTAAAAATTCTAGATAATCAATCAATCGAATAATAAAGTTTTCTATTTTTGGCTACACGTGTGTTTGCATGTTCTGAGGCTAGTGATCCGTCTCATCGACGATTTCTATTTACTATACCTCATTTGCTTAAGATAAAACGAAATAATTTTATTCACACATGTGTTTTTACTTCAGGTATGATTTTTGGGTCCTATTTCTACGGGTGTCTGGCTGATTTGAGTGGACGAAGAAAGGCCCTGATTGTTACTCTATTCTCACAGGGATTATTCGAGGCTCTATCAGCTATTGTATCGAATTACTGGGGATTCTTGGCTTTTAAATTCCTCAGTGGATTTTCGTATGTTTCTAGGATACTCTGCCTGCTTCGACTGAATTTTTTAATAGAAAATCTAGGGAATTCGATGGAAAACTCGACTGGATTTCCATTTAACTTTCCGGCTTTTCTCTTTCAGTAAGACTAAGGGCATAATCGAACAAATCAATAGAATTCCATTTTAATATTTCTATTCTACTTTAATTTATAATTATAATTCATTCTGCTGAGATATTTCACTCGTCAATTTTTTCCGCTCAAATTTCCTGAAACCCGATTTTTTATTTTTGTTATGAAATAAAAAAAATGAGTAAGACTTTGAGGTGTAGAAATTCTACTGGAAATATATCGAAATTTTATTTAGTTAATGTTTTTTATTGGAGATTTTTAAGTGATTTGTTAGCAACAAATGGAAAGTTCAATTGAAATCCAAAAGAATTCTCTAAAGAATTCGTTAGGTTCTTCTATTAAATTTGTTTTTTCATTTAAATTATTCAATTTTTTTATGTAATTAGACTGATTGCACAAAATGGAGTGGGATACCCGTATGTCGGCGAATGTTTACCACCGAAATTAAGATGCAAAGTACTTTGTGCTTTAGAAGTCGCGTGGATAGTGGGAACAATGGTGTTACCAGGTACTTTTATATAATTGTTTATATTTAAAGTACCTCAGCTTTCAAAAATTCGATTTCAGCAATCAAATTTAATTTGGTTATACCGCTGATTCGATTGAAAGATGGAAAACTCGTAGGCAATTTTTAATTAACAATTTGATTTCAGGTTTTGCTTGGGCAATTATTCCTATAGATTTAACTTACACAACTGATTTTTTTTTCTTCCATTCGTGGAGTCTTTTTGTTATATTGTACTCTCTACTTGCGCCGGGTTTGGCACTTTGGCTATTGACTTTTCCTGAATCCCCGAAGTATCTCGCCGATATTGGAGAAGATGCAAAACTTACTAGAGCACTTGAAGTTATGCATACAGAAAACACTGGGAAACCATTCAATGAATATCTCGTACGTACTTTTCTTTCTTTAATTCTTTCTGATATTTCTAATTCTTCTCTGAAAATTTCTAGGAATTTCGTCATTTCATGTTCAGAATTTCATTAAAAAATCCGTGAGAAAAGTAAATAAATTAAAACAAATCAAATAAATGCACCTTCAGCTTCAACAATGAAATTAATTTAAATTAAATAAATTTTCAATTTGCGTATCTTTAATTCTGGTTGGAGAAGGATTTGCAATTGATAAATAAAAATTTTACAGGACGCCTTAACGAAACACGATCTCCGTGAGTTTCGCGCACGTTTGGAGGCTCGGGAGAGCAGAAACCATTTTCTTTCTAAATCCGAGAGAACCGGACAGATGTGCAAAGAAATTTTATCAAACACCGCAAAATTATTGAGACCACCATTTTTTAAACAAACTGCATTTATCTGTGCACTGCAATTCTGCATCGGTTCAACGTATTTTTCCTTCACTCTGTGGTTCCCAGAATTAGTTCGAAGATTGGAGAACTTCGAGTCCATGTTCCCAGGAGAATCTGCCTGGATCTGCAGTGTTGTACCTAATGAAGTCCCCACAAACTTAACGGTAAACAATTCCCCAATTAATAATAATTTATCAACATTTCAGTAACGGAGTGGTAAAAGCCACTTGTGACTATCGACGAGTTTTCGGTGAATATCTCAGAATCTAAAGAAGATAGCCGGATTTTCGTCATAACATTTTTTGCGGAGAAAACTTAGTTCTATAATAAATATAATTACAAAAATTTCGGTATCTCCCTTAGTTTCGGAGATATCTTTAAAAAATCGACTCAGAGATAAATCAACAATTTTGTTATTGATTCCTTTTCGCAATTCAAAGTGATCTTTTATTTTGCTCTGCAGGTTAAAGCGGTGGAATGTTCACCAGAAATTCCAATGAATGTTTACATGCATACATTAATTATTAACATTGCTTGTTTACCAACAAATATTCTGGTGCCACTTTGCATAGAAAAACTCGGATACAAATTCTTCATTGGTAAATCTTCAGATATATTATCAGAAAATTCCGCATCACCCGATGTTTTATGAAACTTAATAAATAAATTATGATTCTCTTTTTTTGCAGTAACATACAACGCAGGTGCATTCTTCATCACGGCGGGATTATTTTTCGTGCGATCATCAACGCAAAATCTCATTTTATCCGCATTTTATGAAGCTTTCACCTCAGTTGGTTTAGCCCTGGTTTTAGTAGTTATTACGGAATTATATCCCACGCAGATCAGGTAAGTTACACCAATAAATACCGCCGACCTCTCATTTCTCGTTATTTTCGTAATTAAGTACTAAAAACATAAAACGGTCAATCTTCAATGGATATCTCCGAATTGAGAGCTCCTATCAAAATTTTTATAATAATCTTTTTTGCGCAGCTGATGTAGAGCTACAAAAAAGGTCATTATGAAAAATGCGCTATCTCTATCTGATTCGGAGAAATTCCTGGATAAATCGAAGAAATCGGATTTGGGTTGGAAAATTAAAAGTTGTCAATTTTTTTTTTCATTCTAGAGCAACAGCTTCGGCATTTGGCATGTTGATGGGCAGGATAGGTGGAGTCTTCGGAAATCTATTGATTGGTTATTTGATTGATAAATACTGCGGCTCCTTCGTCGTAATTACTATGGCTCAACTCTTAGGTGATTACGTATAATCCGTAGCCTTAAGATTTCAGTATTTTTTCTCATGAATACATTACTAACTCGTCTGTTCAATTTACTTCGCAGTTTGTGTCATCATCGGTTTTATACTGCCGGTAAAAGGAGAGAAAAAGAAAACAGTACCTGAAATTAGCGTACCATCTGTGTACAGAATAGACAACACGTACCTCTAGCTGATTATCAACAGTAATATATAAATTCAAATGGATCTCCATTACATCATAGTATTTTTTTAATTTTTCAAGGAATCAATCTTGAAAACTTCCGCCTAGTTTGTCATATCAATCACTCAATTTTAAATTATCAATAAAATACTATTTTTTCATCGACTCCACGAAGAACGGTTTTTCCCCTCGAGTTGAGAGATCAATTACTGCTGTACTAATGATTAATCTTGATCAACGATTATTGATTAGGATTAAAATTAATGGTGTCTAGGAAGAATTATCTCTGTTTTTCAGGGATTTTAGGGAAAAATATTGCTGGAGAATAGATTGAGAAATAATAGAGGATCTTTATCATTCTGGAATTTAATACAAGTACTCATCATCCTGAGATATAAATCATAATACAGAATTCCGATGGTTCGAGTACCTGTACTAAATTTCCTTTGTCCTTTATCTTTCAGTGAATTCTCATGATACCCTTGCGAATACCTTCCCTTGAGACACCCGATCCCACAAAAAAAGTCAAGATTATAAACAAGAATTATTTTACAATTAAACGAGGTGCGCCGGGCAGCGATAAATAATCCGGGTGTGTTTATATACGTGACGTAGGGAAACCCGTGTGCATGGGGTCATCGTCGGAGCAACCCGACACCAAGCTGCTGGTCATTCATAAAATCCTCCTGTTTCATCGATCAACTCGATGCGTTATCCCATGTGAGAATTAATAAATTAATTAATCCACCAATGAACAATGTTATATTCAACATTAAACAATATTTATGGTAGGACCACGGCACATTTCCACATTTCCACATTTCCACATTTCCACATTTTCTATGATCACTTAAACTATATCATTGAACCTCAATTTGTTATTAACAATACACTTTGCACTGGAAATAGTTTTTTCGTGTTAGAAAAAATATAAAATTCATTAATTTAAATATAAATAAAATATATTATAATAAATAAAATTTATTAATCGATGGACTAATGATATTATTGTTAACATTAAAGAATATTTATTCATGTTACATATTTACATTATTTATAATGAACTCCAAAAATTATTCTCATCCCACGAGAAAAATAATTTCATTTCTCATGAACAGTTAAAAAAAATTGTAAAATTAATGTTAAATTGTTTCGACAAAAGGATTTCATGTCAGACTTTCGGATTCTGTTGAGGAACTTACCGAATGTTTATCCAACTTTTTCCATTTATCCCCCATACACGTCGCGCGTTAAGAAAAAACCGCAGAACATCGTGAGTAAATCCCGAGCCATTACAAGCTGTAAAAAAAAAAGTCAGTGGTAGCATTAGATCTCGGTACATCAAGTATTTTCCATGACTCCCACACAATGGCGGTGATATTCTCCCATTGAAAATAGTGCGCCAATTCTGTGTGAAGAAATAAACCACACAGAGCTAGTTTGAGAGTGAAACCCCTAGTTAACCACGAGAATAGTGTATTTCAATCTTGATGATGGCTATTGAGCTCGAGTGTGTGTGCAGTGATCAGAGATATTGCCGTCGAATCGGCAGCTATTAGACCGTGGATTTACCACTGAGATTACAGCCTCAAGTGAACGAAGTCTCATGCCGCTGCTTGGAAAAGAAGATGAGGATATCGTAGGTGTGATCAGAAGGCGTCGGGGAATGCCTTTGGCTTTTCAAAATCCCCAGGAAAAACGAGAGACCAACAGTCAACCCATTACCCTGAGTCATTCTTACCCTCGACGTGATTGTGTGTGAGAAATGTACTCTTACCTTCAAGTACTCCTCATTTTGCAATTGTTATTCTACATTTCACCAATTGTTCTCACTTTCATCTTTATTTCATTTTTATTCATTTATTTTTCATTTATTTATCAAATTTCATGATAATAATTCCTGATTTCAAATGATTTAAAGAGTCATTTTATTTCAATTCAGAATAACATTTTTTATGTAAATTTAATAAATAAATAAATAAAATCTAACAATAACAATATATTCAATATATTCTTCATGTAATTCCACAATAATTCATATATAATTCTATATAATATGAATAATATATTGAAATCCATTAATGAAAATTCATTCTGAAAGGATTATTTAAACTTATGTATAATTATTCAAATATTTATATATTTATATTATATTATATTACATTTCTTTAAAATTGAATTGAAATTATTCTCTTCGAAATCTAATATAACAGATAAATTTTATTAATGCAATTGTATTATTCATTAGAACAAAGTTATTGATTACTATCAATCGACTATTAATCCCTTATCAATGGAGTAGATCGTATATTCTCTTTATATCAATAACGAGCTCATAATTTCAACCTAAACTTCGATCTTAACATCTCATCTTCCCACCTTTATCTAAAAAATCAGGCGAGTAAATTCTCAGCCTCTCCGATTTACTGAGACTGTCGAGTCACTTGGAGTCACTTAATCATCAATTAATTAACCGCTTGCACTTCTCTAATTATCGCCGGCCACCTTTTCCAGGTGCGTCACCAGGTGATGGGTTTTCAGGGAAATTCACCAGAATCATTCACGATGAAAGATAAATAACTCAGGAAATAACAACAAATCACTGCCTCTCCATTTTTCTCTACATCAGGTTCGGGTAATAGTATGGAATATACCTGAGGCTCATAACTGTTGATTACACCGAATGATGGGGCGTGAAATTTCCACATTTTTACCTCACGTTTGGTGAGATAAAAAATCACAAAACAATTCACATAATCCGGAATGAGGAATTGTTTTTCGGTTGTTTATGCGGGTGGAAAAATAAATCTGAAACGTTTAGTTATTTCTCAAGTTCATCACTGAAAAAAGTATGAAATTGTCACGTAATTTTACCCGAAGAAGTACGATCTCATTGAAAATTCTCGACTTGTTGTGCCTCAAAAATAAACAATTCATGAACATTCAACAATTTTTATGAGGCTAGTGTGTTGTGTCTGCGTTTTATTCCGTAAAATTTCTCAATCGTTGGGAAAAAATGACGCAATGACTTGTCAACCCAGCGGTACGTCATCAGACTGGTGGGTAATTTTTACGGTGCAAATGGTAAAATTCACGTGACGATTCATCCAATTTTTATTCCAACTCCCACTTTTTATTGAACTTCACTTCGCTCGTAGATTATAATTCAAAAGGTAATTTTTACGTTCTTCTGGTAATTTTCATTGGATGTTTCTCTCTGTGAGGGGACAAGTTCCGGAAGTCTAAATGTTTCACTCACCGGCTTTATCAGGTACAATTTTTTGTCGCATTCTTCTCTACAAGAAGAGTAACAACGCTATGTGCAACACAATGCAAGTACTCTGTACACGGTGCAACGAGATAAGGATCGAGTAAGCTGTACTTACACATACGTGTATATTGTAGTCGGATGATTCAGGACTCTGTTGCACATCACAAATGTAAGGGCCAATGGAAAATATAAGGTACCCTATATTTTTTCGTTGTACTACCCTATAAAACGTACACCACTGACTTATTCACTCGAAATCGAATCTTTTCATCGTCCATTTTATTTTTCGAATCGCTGAAAAAATAAATAAAAAGATTACAAAAAAAAACACATGTTAATTTCCCTATGATCTATTTCTTCTGTAATTCGTTGAATTTAATTCATTATTTGAATCAATTAATTAATTCATCAATGAACAATTTTTTTGTGTTCCAAATTTTTTTTTATACTCTAGTGAAAATTTCGAATGCAATTTTCCAATAGCGCAGAAATAATTCAACATTTCATTCGTGACCCAACGATTGTAATCATTCCATTTTTTTTTTATCCCATCATGACCTAGAATCGTAGAAATTAATCTCATTTTAGAAACCGATGATTAATGTCACCGAGACTCTCAGCAACAAGAGTAAATCGCAGTGAAGTGAAAGTGGCATGACCCATCAACTCCATAACTGATCCTGAAAATCGAGCTGAACAGAGAAATCAGCGGTTGTTTAATTTAGAAATAAATTCCAGTGTTGCGGTAGAATAGCCAATATTCCATAAAAGGCTCATTATCTTTCCAAATGGAAGTGCTCATTGAGTGAATAAACTGGTACCACAGGGATGAGGCAGAACAACGAAGTAATTCCATGTAACATCGAGGCAGAAAAGGAGGAAAAAAATGGACAGATGATTGAGGAAAAAAAAAAAATAGTCTACGGAGGGACAAAGGCCGCACCTCTTGGGGATCATGAGGATGACTTTGGATCACACCATAATGCCCTCAATGGACCGAACAAGATACGCGTGACGAGCCACCGGTGCTAAGACACTTCAAAGCGAAAATGTTTTGTCTCATTCGGTTCTTACTATTAGCCACGCTTCATTCAGGAATTGAAAAAATGAATAAATAAAAAATGAGAGAGTGAAAGAAAAAAATAAGTTCTGCAGACGTTATCCCTCTTTGTTGCGAAAATTTCAGCGCTGAAAAGACGAAAATTGTTGGGGGGAAGATTCATGATGTGATACATAAGAGTGAACGTTGAAAGTAACAAGATCGAAACTTCTTGGGAAAGGGTGAGGGGGGACTACCGTTAATTTGAGGGATGTATACGATGGTAGAGGTTCCTCCAGGGATAATGACAGGGAGCCACTGGGGCATAATTTCACGCCACTGAAATCTAGAGTCTTCGCACGGTATTAGAGTCTGAAAAGTGGACGAGTGAAACCTCAATTTATTTTTCTCCGGGTGAAATCTCAATGGAATGGGATATCTTTTTTTTTTTTTTGAAAATTTGTCGAACATTCTGTCGCTAAGGGGTGGGGTAGGATAAGTGAATTCTTATCGAGGCCAGTTTTTTGCCGATTTCTCGAGATTGAAGGAACATAGCGGATTTTTTGCGTGAACGTTTTTTATAGGAAATGACGAGAGCTGTAAAAAAGGTTATTATGAAAATAT